CAACCCTCAGGGACCTGGAGAAACAGGGACCCGCACGCTTCCTTCTCGGGTCTGTGGACTGAAGCAGTCAAGGGAGGGAATGCTGGCAAAAATGAGAATGAATAATCATTGCACTTCAGCTTTTGCCAAACGAGCTGCCATGGGACGGTGGGTGCAGCTGCCTCGGCTCCACCTCCAGCACCGTTGCTGGTCACACCATTTCAAACTGCGCAAGATTTGAGGCTTCACAGAGACCTAAACCACTGGGACACTGCAGGCGGGTTAAAACCCCAGCAAATGAGCATGTAGGGATCCCACAGGGCCTCTTACAGGTGACACCTGGTGAGAGAGGTTTAAGCTTTTAAGCTTGCAGGAACTTACATTTTAGAAATGGAGTTAGGAATACAGATAAAACCACACTTTAGATGAAATTGTCTTGTGGGAAGCTAGAGAGAGAGAGAGAGATGGCTTATTGCACCTCAAATCCACCAGAGAGAACAAACCTCATTTCTCATGCCCCGCCCTGCCAGGGCAGGTGCTCTAGGAATGACCTTTCAGCCATTTCTCTCCTCCTGAAGTAGCTGAACACCCCTGAAAGCAACGGTGGGTCTCCATGACCTGTAAGGATCCTGAAGCCTTGTCTTTAAAAAGACACATGAAGTTTTCACATGGGCTGTGACCTGTTCCAGCCCCCCATTAACCTGTCACCCAGGATAGGGCTGTGGAAATCTTTGTTTTCCTTCTCAGTAAATGTGAAGGTCAGAAAATTCCAGAGAGAGTCGCTGTAGTAAATCTGCCCAATGTTCCTGCTTCCCACTTCCAAGGACAGGCTCAAAGTACACTGTAAGCAGCATCCTGAGCCTGGTGGAAGAAATCATCGATAACTGAAGCAGTGGCTGTGTTAATCAAACATGTCCTGCAGTGTCTTGGAAAGCTTTAAGTGAAGCAGTTAGAGAATCTCAAACTACAAGGTAATCAGGGGCAGAACCATCCCTAAAACAGCACTCACAGTTTCCAGGAGGGAGTGCCTGGCACCGTCACAGGCCCAGCCTTGATGGTTTGAGGGATTTGGAAATAAACCCTAAATGTACACATCGAAGTTTAATTAGTCAGGACTCGGAGCAGCCGTTAATTAGTTCTGCACAGGCTGGCCTCAGCCTCAGCCAGGGGGAGCCCAGAAAGCGTTGGGGGTTTTGTGGGTGTCACAGCCCAAGCCCCCGGCCCGTGGCCACAGCTCTGCTCCAGCTCTGCTCCAGCTCTGCTCCAGCTCTCCGTGGCCACAGAGCCGGTGCCTCCATGCAGAGGGAAAATGCAAAGGGGCCACATTGCCTGGAGCCTTCTCCGAGCTGACAGCTCGAGCAGCTGGAGCTGTCACCCGGCAGGAGAGACGGGCCTGTCAAGCTCATATTTTCTGCCATCCCAGCACTGATTGCTTGGAGAAACACTCTCTCTCTGCCTCCTCTCCCAGAGATCATAGCTGGGGGAGCTCCCTCTGAGCCAATCAATTACATGGAAAAGGCAGGGGCCCAGCCTGAGAGCCCTAATGCGTCCCTTCCCTGCTGGAGATCCCGAGGGAACACCAGGCTTGAGGGAGAAGCAGCCCCAGCACCTGCCCAGCCTCAGGGACAGGTGGGTGCAGGGCACAGGGAAAACGACCCCTGTGCCCAGAGCAGGCGGCTGCTGCTTTGCAGGGAGCTGCAAAGGAAGGATGCAACTTCCCTAGGGTTCTGCAGGGATCCAGACCCTCTGGAGCCAGGCCTGTTCAACCACAGGAGCTACAGGGGAACAGAGCTGCTGCCCCAACAATTTGTGGGAGCTGTGACACTGCTCTGTTTAATGCCAGACCATTCCCGCCCCTCGCAGGGACACTACGGTGGCAGCTCTGGGGATGAGGGCAGGAAAGCCACACAAGGAACACTGATAACAGAGAGCACAGGGGCAAGGAGCAGCTCCCAAATCTGCTGGTGCTGCCCCAGGAGCCCCCGAGGGCAGCCGAGCAGCGGCTGGGACAGAGGCTGCAGTCTGCTCAGGATGTGGAACTACCGGGATTAAACAGAGAGGGAAAGCCACACAGGTGCTGTGCTTCCTCCTGAGTACTCATGGGGAAGGAGGAGAAGACACAGCCGAATCCTGCCTCCTGTGGTAACTCTTCTGGCTCCTCTGCTCCACCTCCCTCAGCTTTTCCTCTTTGTTCACTGCCTGGACAACCACGGCAGCACCGACAGCTACCCCAGTTCCATCTCACCTGCTGAGCACGGGCTCCTACGACTCAATTCCCTGTCCTTGCTCCCACATCGGAGGGACCCATCCTGGACCAGGGAGGCTTGGACAGAGGTTGGAGCACACAGCTGCCACTGTGTGTGTGCCAGACAGTGCCAGCGCTGCCTCCTCTCCTGGAGGCGCCGGGACAGTCGGGAATTTCCTAAGTCCCAGCGACTAGAAATGAATTGTTCAGTTTCAGGCAGCACTGACACATGGATCAAACTCAACCCCCGGCACATGCCGAACGTGCTGTGGTATCGTGGCACTGCTACTCACTTTTGAGTGTGTATTTTTTTACTACTCCCCCCAAAAAGGCAGAAATATTTAATATACAGAACCTGGAGAGACTTTTGTTCCACCTCTACACAGATCTGACAAAACACACTACAAGGAAAACACCCTTTTCCAAGGAAAAAGATAAAAGTAAAAGAAACCCCAATTAAGTAAAAAACAAAACCAGAAAAACCACACCAAAGCAAAAGGAATCCTGGCTCATCATTACAAAGAGCATCAGTCTGGTTAACGCAATAGTTACTCTGGGTTTGGTTTTGTTTCTGTCAAAAATACATTTTAAACCTAGATGTCAAATTGAAATATTCCTTTTGCTTTAAAATGGGAAAGATCAAGCTCAGTACTGAGCAAAAAGTGGTTTAAAATAAACCAGATCTGCTTCCTTGTACATTCAAGTATTTTCTACAGGAACTTTAAGCATGTAAAAATCTGGAGACAAAAGGAAAGCATGTGTCACCCTTACAACAAAAAGCCTGCAAAATCTCGGTTTTATGTAAATCAGCAGGCAGGCTCCCGAGGCTTTAAAACCAGGGAATGCTGAAAACCTCTACAGTTCCTCAACTCAAGTGTTGCTCCTGGGCAATGCCATAATATTCATTAAAGAATCCATTTATCAACAGATACCATGTCTGAGTTTTCCAGCACAGTTTTCTTGACACTCCACTGAAAAGGATGCTTTAAAAACATTAAGTTGGAACTCAAGAATCCGGGATGCTTTGCCTGCCCATTCCACAATATCCATTAGCAACTAAAAAAGCCAAGATTTACACTATATCCTCCCTGATAACGTTGAGCATTGTGCTTTATTTTCCAAGTCATTAGCATGCACAAGAATGACCTCATGGTGAACAGATGCACTTGGATATGGCAGTGATTAGATCAGTCCTCTCAGCAGTCAAGTGTGCCCATTCCCATTAACCCTTGGAGCGCCAAAGGCAGCACTGCAAGCTCAGGGTTCCCTCCAAACACAAACCTGCCCTCCGAGTACACACCCTTCACGCAATCCTCCTGAGGATCACTAGACAGTTACCCCGAATACCTGGCCACTTCCACTTCCTAAGGGATAACACCGTGCTTCTGGCTGCTGATCTCACACCAAAAAAGCCCCAAAGCCCAAGGCAGCCCTTTGAGCCACAGAGGCAAAGTCGGGGCGCTGCTCTGTCTGTGTGTGCCTGCTTCAGCTTCACCAGTTTGTTAAAGAACACACAAGTATTTTGTTGAATAACTGTTTCTGGTTTTGGCTGAGGGAGCAAGAACAGCAGCTTAAAGCCCGTCCTCTAAAAGGAGAGAAATCTGCAGAGGGAAAGGATGAGAATAATTCAACAGTGTTGGATTATGGAGGATTTCCTGGGCTGCCTCTCAGACCCAGCCTAATTAAAATACAGCATGTAATGCACCAGTTTAACAACAAAGGGCCGTATTCCCAGCTTTTGTTCCTAATCTGCACATCCCCTAAATGAGTTCAGGGATGGCCATTCTGCCTACCCGACTGCGCTTTCAGGCTGAAAACAGCCAGCCAGGGTTATCCGTGATCCTTCAGCACTGCAAACAGCCAGGGTTATGTGTGATCCTTCAGCACTGAAGACAGCCAGGGTTATCCGTGATCCTTCAGCACTGCAAACAGCCAGGGCTATGTGTGATCCTTCAGCACTGCAAACAGCCAGGGTTATGTGTGATCCTTCAGCACTGCAAACAGCCAGGGTTATGTGTGATCCTTCAGCACTGCAAACAGCCAGGGTTATGTGTGATCCGTGTGGGGAGTTTAAGGCTCTGCACGTGGAAACAGCAAAGAGATCAACTGGATGATTTTCGTGCAGAAAATGCAGCACCTGCAAGACTGCTGGTGACAGAGAGACCAAGCCAGGGCAGGAAACACACATCCCACCGGAGTCTGGGAGATGCATCCCCCGGGGCAGCATCAGAAAATGCAAAAACACGCAGTTCAATAATTAGATCATGGTTAGCAACACCCCAGTGATGTGTGTCAGTGAGAGCTACGCGTTCAATTCATTTAATGGTCCCGATTTCTTCTTATAACTAATGACAACAAGCTTCATTTTAATAAAAAGCACACTTGCTCCTTGACCTTTCTGCTCAGATCAGATGAGAATTAATCTTAAATTTACCTGAGGAGTTTACACCCGGCAGGGTTAGCAGCACCAGCTGGCTTGTCACCTGTGCCAGCTCCATGAATCCCACAGAATCATCGAGGCCGGGAGAGATCTTCAAGATCATCTAATCCAGCCACCAACTCAGCACCACCATCATCACCCCTAAACCACGTCCCCAAGTGCCACATTCAGACACCTCCTGAACACTTTTAGAGGCGGTGACTCCAGCACCTTCCTGGGCAGCCTGTGCCAGTGCCTACTGCTTTCGGGGAAAATCTGTTTTTCATTTATTGCTCCCTGATTAATTTTTTCTGTTTCGGAACAGCAGTTCCCTTTTTACATGGAGAAAACCAGGTGATTCCTGCAGGTGTAAGACAGGGGGGTCTATGCCTGGAGCAGGACTGCCTGCCTATGGCACAGGCTGCATGCTGGGGAACAGCTCCCGAGCTGCCAGGGAGCATCTGATGGAAAACACATCCCAATGGCCACGGCTCACACTGTCCTTGCTCATCACTGACTACATGTGCAGGTGTATCAGTAGGTAACATGAGGAGATTCTCTGAAGCAGACAATTCTGACACCAGAAGTCATGGCCAGCCTCCAGTTCATGAGTGAAAAATTAATTCTGAGGCTCAGAAGTCCAAAAACTGGGACCTGACTGGGGCAGGTTTTACAATTAAAAGCAATTAAAATAATGAAATTATAAAACCACATCCAGGGTACTCATGATTTAACAGTGTTCTGTAAACCTCAGCTATTGGGAAACACTTTAACCAGGTTTGGCATATCCCAGCATATCCCAGCCTTCCAAGAGCAGCACTGCCAAGGGATCTGCCCTGTCGGACCACATTTGTACACAACCAGATCACTGCGTGCTCTAAAAACCACGAGAACGAGGCACAGCTATGTACAGAGCAAAACATTTAAAATAGATCAATATATCTACATTTCTATTTGCTGATATGTCAGCAGATAAACGATTCAAATGCTAACGACCAACCCTGGGCACGTGCTGCACTCCTATTGAAACGGGCGATTTTTTTGTCTAAGACTTTTGGCAGAGTGTATAAAAGAATTTAATGCACAGCTGTTCTACTTTTTAATGTAGGAAACATTAATCAAAGCTTTAAGTTATAAGCTTTCCTAGCGTTGTTTAGTATTCCAGTTCAGCAGAGATCAATAGATCCATCCCGTGTTCCCTGACGCCTCTCCAGGACGCAGAGGCGCGATTATGTAAATGGCCCCGACCGCCTCCCCTCCTGCCAGCGCTTATCTCCAAAGCCTTCTGCCTGCTGCTCCTGGCCACCACTGCCCGGCCCGCACAGGCCTCTTATCTCCTCACAAAGCTCCGAGCGCGCCAGGATCGGAGCCAGGAACGCTAGACAATGCTGCACGGCTGGTTTTATTCCTAAGTGATTTATTCTAGCAAATTTAATTTCTTCCTTCAATGTTTCAGTTTAGATGGAAGATATCTGCTAACAAGTCGGGCTAAAGAGAAATAGAGCAGATGTCCTGCAACGTTTGTACAGGTTGGAAATAATCTATTCAGCAATCCAAAAGAGAATGATTAGAAAGTGCCAGTGTCACCCTATGAGTGTCAACAATGGATTAAGGAATCTTTGTTAGAGAGTCCAGCACACAGCGACGAGACACTTTCTGGAGGCTGGAAAAAACACATCTTGAGAGCACTAGAAATCTGCTTTTCAGAGCAAAAGATCCCTTTCAGAAGAGGTTCACTTAAACTCAACGGAACCAGCCAGGCAGCGATTTGTACCTCACTGACCACACAGTAACCTAAATGTCCACAGGGCAGGAGGAATAAACGCCCGCCCGGGCTTTGGCACTGCATTGCCACCTCTCAGGAGGGCTGATGAATGATGAGCACTGATGTGTGTGTACACATGCACACCCCCACCCCCCACATACATGCACACATCCATTACAGCCCCCAAAGAGGCTCCAGGCCAGGTGCTGGAGGGCAGCCTGCAATGTGCTTGTCTGCATTGAAGGGAAGCGCCCGCGTCCCGCCCGCCGCTGTGATTCCCTAACAGCACCCCGTTCCTGCGGTTCTTGTGCATTAATCCCTGACCCTGGTAGCTCAGCAGCATAATCCCCATTTAGCATTAGCAGCAGCTTCCCCTGCGAGGAACTATTTTTGATAAGTGAGCCCCAATTCAGGCCTCGCTTTTGAACAACATATTCCCAGCTCAGCAAGAACCCGGAGTCCTGAATGAGCCGGAGCCCATCACTGCGAGAAAGTTCATTAACCTCGCCGGAGTCGGGGGTTAACAGGATAGCTGAAGAAAGGAGCAGACTGAATAGCTCTGATGCAAAACAAATTAAAATGAATGTCATCATTCCTTTTGATATTCATTAGTTGATTCAGGGGAAGAACGGTCTTCTTAAATTTGCAAGCATTTATCTACAAAAAACAGGTGTACATCTGCTGCTCAAGTGCTTCTTGGGGCTACAGAGAAGAATAACGTGCAGAGACTCACCAGTTCCACCGAGGGAGTAGCTGGGAGAGGGAGAAAAGACCTGAGCGGCAAAATCCTCAAACGTCATCACCTCTTTGTGGTTCTGGATGATGGCTTCGAGGTACAGAGCTCTCTCCTCGTAGCTGTGGCGGCCCCGTTAAGGAAATGTGTGTGCAGAACTCCAGGCTGTCCCACGGCGTCCCCCCTGAGGAGCAGCAGCCCCTCAGCCCCACATCCACACTGACCGGGCTGCAATGGGTGGGGACCGGGGGGACCAGAACTGCCCAGCAGATCTGAAGGCGAGCAGTGAGGAGAGGACACCCTTCGGGGCTGGAAATTCAGGGTAACACCTTTGAGCTTTGTGACTCAGAAACAGCGACTCGGGAGCTGCCGAGGGCAGGAGCAAACCCCCAGACCGCAGCTTTCCAAAACCAGAACCTGCCGTCACAGACAGGCTGTGGCACTATGGGAAGCTCCTGCCACACAGTATTCCTGTTCCAGTGACTAGAAAAGTGACTAGATTGGAGAAACAAGCTATGGGACAGCGGGGATCAACCCCCCCCCCCTTCATTTGATCACTGGACTTCTCAAAAGAAATTAACCACAATAAACACAATTCTGAAAGCGTGACAGTTGTATTTAGGGCAGGTGCTGGAAGGTGCAACCTTATGTATCCCAAAGAAACGATGGACATTGGACAAACCCAGCCCACAACTTGCATGCATTATGGCCTACATAATGCAAACAACAAAGCGAGCTAACACGGAGACTATTGCCTTTTAATTAAAACTCGGCAACCTGGAACACACAGCATTCAAATGTGTAATCAAAAACCAGTCACCAATAAAACTTACAAGCGTAACAAGCTGAAGCAACTTTCCAGCTGTCTTAATAGGACCCCTGCTTGCGGCAGCCTTTCACAGCAGAGAAAGCAAATCTTCCCCTTTTGTGTGCAGCTTCTGTCTGCTCAGAAGGTGAATCATACACTTCCAATAACAGGATAACGCTTGGGACAAATCTACAATGGGCTGGAGAGCCTCACGTATGACTTTATGAATTAGGGCTCGCAGGAGCCAGGATGACATCTCATTCTCCGTTTCCTCAGTGAAAACAAAAGTTTTCAGCGCCTCATTGTGCTTCTGTTACGGGGAAATGCACTCGAGCTCTGCAAGGCTGTTCAGTGGGAGCAAAGGCCAAGCTGAATTTAGAAATTAGGAGCGGGAGAATAACACCAGTGACAACAGAATGCAGGTGAGGGTATTTAGAATTGAAAAGCATTACTAATTAATATTGAAGTGCCATTTGTAACTTGCAGTACATTAACAAAACCGCTCTGAAACAGTATTAAAAAAAAAAAATCAGAGTAAAGCGGTGCTTAAAACCAGGAGACGATGGTCTAATGTCGACCTTGAGGGGAATAAGCAAAGCACGTCTTCATTGCATGTGAGTTCCTGCAGGCGTGGTGGCAACAAAAGAAAGAGAAAGAAAAGAAGAATTTTGCTTTTAACGCTTGCAGAGGACGATTGATATGTGATAAATCTTCTTATAAACTTCCCGTGGAAGCCTGGAGAAAGAAAATCAATAGCCAGCATTTCAGCGTTTGCACCTGCTGACAGCGTTATTTGCTCAGTTTTCCTCCCTTCCCCGAAGCCCGGGAGAACACATTCCTGACAGCGCCAGCGCCAGCCCGCAGCGTGCGGGGCTGCCTCCCCATTATGGGCTGAACTCCTGATGACTCTTGTTAATGAATAGGCTGCCAAACTTCCTCGGAGAGGAGGCACACGCCTGGGCCCTATTCTAAAGGGACTGACGGATGCCATTCACTTCTCATTATGGAGATGCTGATTCCTCGGCGCTCGGCTGTTGCCAGGGCCGAGCTGAGTGCGGCTGGCCGGGAACAGCGGGAACAGCGGGAACAGCGGGACGCGGGGGCTGCACGGCCGTCTGGCCAACAGCCCCTCCGACACGGAGCTGGCACGTGCTGGCGCAGCGGGAGCAGACCCAGGCGTGACAAATTGCTGAAAGGGCTCGGCGACACCGGGGGCTGACGACCACCTGAGCCTGCGGGCCGGCCGGCAGCTCTCGATTCGCGGCCGGGGCCGCGCGTGGGCTGCTTCAAACCAGGCAGGGGGACGGCAAAGGCTTTTCACGCTCTGCCTGATAATGCCCTGCTGCGTAATGAACGGCCCTGCACATCTCACACATCAGCACGCGCAGCCGCCGCGAGCTCACCGCAGGCTGTGCCGCCGCGGTAAGTGCTACACGCAAGGACACGGCGAGGACACGCTGCCCAGGTTTGCTGCACCCAGTAAACGCCTATCGATGAGCTGCAGGGTGCTCATCGCAGCACAAAACACTGGGCCAAACAGCTGGGCAGCTCCAGGAGAGGCAGCCGAGGAACAACACACTGTGCCATGCCGATTCCAAGGTCCGGAGAGCCGTGTGGATCCACAGCGGCTTTGGAGGTGCGCGAGGAAGATCCCAGTGCAGCGCCCCCCTTGCAGATTAAAAAGCCCAAAGCAGCGGGTCCTGGGGAGGCCGAGGGCTGCACACACTGGGGTCCTGGGGAGGCTGAGCCTGCACACACTGGGGTCCTGGGGAGGCCGAGCCTGCACACACTGGGGTCCTGGGGGGGCCGAGTGCTGCACACACTGGGGTCCTGGGGGGGCCGAGTGCTGCACACACTGGGGTCCTGGGGAGGCCGAGTGCTGCACACACTGGGGTCCTGGGGGGGCCGAGCCTGCACACACTGGGGTCCTGGGGAGGCTGAGTGCTGCACACACTGGGGTCCTGGGGGGGCCGAGCGCTGCACACACTGGCTCCACTCTGCAGCCCCCCCTCGGCTCTGTGCTCCCCATGTCCCTCCCGGGCTATCTGGAGCAAGAGGCAGCACAGGAGCTCCCGCCATGTGGGCAGTGAGCACAATGCCCGTGCTCATTTTTACTTACAGTTTAATCAAGAAAGAATTGAGTGGCTGCAGGAGAACAAAACCAAACTCCCTGCCATCTCCGTTTCAGTACAGACTGGGGAGAAAAGATGGGATTCACTATAATAAAAAGCCAAAGAACTGGAGTTTAAGAACGTACATGAACAAGCTGTAAAGAACCCCCTGAAAAACACCTCCATCCTGTTAAAAAAAGCCTCAAGAAGTTTCCTGTTTGTCCCTCTGCAGGAACGTGTCCATCCCAGTAATCTCTGGAGCAATACTTCAGTCAGAGCTGCATCACACAACCACGCTGTGCCTGCAGCCCATGAGCTGGCCCCGAGATGTCCCTTACACTCCTTCCAACGTTACGCTGACTCTTCCTAACCTGATCTTGGTGTGCCAGCTCCTGCAAGCTTTGGGCACAGCCACCTGACATGCAGGTGCCCTGAACACTGAGCTGCATTTAGATGGAGTGCCACATAAATTGCTGGTTTAAAAATGCAACCCGTGGATCAGCAAACCCCCGACCCAGCTCAGGGCAGTGCTCTGGGCTGAGCAGGACCATGAGGGAGGTCCAAGTGCAGCTTTCCTAGAGCAGCCTCGGGGCTCGAGGGCTGCAGGGACACAAATCCGCTGCTGCAGCCGGGGCTGCAGAGGATGGGCTGTGATCTTGAACCCCACCCCAGCGAAAAGCTGGACAGCTGGCGGCCCTGATTAACTAAGCCCCCAGTTATCTGGAGGTTTGGAGTGTCCCCTGAGATCTTCAGATAAATGGAGTCATACCAGACCCTTGAAGGAGCTGATCAAAAGCTCCTCTTTTAATATGTACGGCAATTTGACCCTCCCCTCCACGGCTGCATTATTTTACATTTTCCTTCTGCCAAGGCAAAACTCCAGGGCAAAATGTTTAAAACAGGCACAAACAAGTTTTTTTTCATTTCATATGAAATAATGACATTGGGAGCTATGCAAGGTGTGAATTATCAATCATGAATGTATATATAAAACTGCACAGAGCAGGAATTTACCTCCTATTTGAATACAGCAGTGAAATCTCAGCATTTTAATATTATGAGCTTGTAGAGGAGTTTTATCAGTATATAAATTATTTTAACATTTCAACCACACAATGAAGGCTGTTTGAAAGAAAACTCCAACACATTAAAATGTGAACATTACCTATTTTCAATTAACCACATCACCTCATTGCAGCAGCAGGATGACATGCAAAGTTCTGGGGTGAAATACACAGGACCTTCCAGATGGAGAATGAAAAAGGAGGCAAAAGGCAGAAGTTTTTGTAAATTCATTGGAGAGGCAGGTACCAGCCAGCACTTGGCTCTCACCTACCAGCATCACCTCTACATGTCTAACCTCTACAGCACAGAGCCAGTTTCAGACACATGGTTTAAATCGTAAGATTTGAAAAAGACTTCAAAGACCTTGTCATGTGAGTTCTGCAGGTGACCTGAGCCATCCTGGGATCAGGATTTGGCCAACGTTTCCTTCTCTGCACACACGCAACATTAAACCACAACTGCCTGTTTATAAACAGGGAATAGAGGAGACGATTATTTGTCAATAGCAGATCCTGAACATATAGAACTTTTACTTCTGAACCATAACTCTGTGCTGACCTCAAGCAAAACCCTCAGGGCCCCATCCCTGCCGATGGCAATGGCCAGCAAGTCCTTCCCCATTTTCATTTTATTTGAAAATAAAAACATTTTGGCAGCATTCATATACTCTCACCAACATATGGAAACAACGGTGCATTCTGCTGATGCAGTGGGCAAATAAAAGACAAAAGTGTTTGTGGGCTTGTGGACAGGCAAGGGGAGAACTGACTGGCTGCTCTCCACAGACCGTGGTTCCTGCCAACACCACGGGGCACCAGTCCCGGCACTGGCACCCAATGGTTGGGGTGCGCGGAGAGCACACGCTCCAACGCCTGTTCCTCTGCTCCAGAGGGACTGCCGAGGCCGTTAATGCCGACTGTTGGCATGGACCTGCTGCAACTCCCATCTGTGATGTGCATCCCACCCGGAGAAGGGCTTTCAGGGCATCTGGCCAGTGGAGAAGCTGAAAGTATAGAGGTAGACAGCTTTTTCCAGCCCATCAGACATCAAGGCTGTCTATATGTCCATGTGCCAAATCCTTCTTCCACCCAACTAGGGAGACTTGCAGAAAATCTTTGAACTCACAGTTCAGTGCAAG